ACTGCTAAATTAGGTACAGCAAACAAACAAGCAATGACTGTTGTAATATTGTATCAAAACTAAGTTTGTTATACAAACGTCCTGCAACGTCTGTACTATTGCCGCACCAAAGCTAAATCTGATGATGATGAACTGTACATGCACCGAAACGTTTGTAAATAAAGAAATAGTTACTTGTTGGTTTCAATACAAATTATTATGATAGATATTGTAATAATTGATCGATTAAGTTATTTAAAGTTGTAACGTAGTGATTTTGAACATGGGGAGCACGCCCCACAGGGAGGCAATTTGAATATATTGGGGGGGGGGCAATTTGAAAATACTATAATAAGAATAATTTTTCATTTGGGTGAGAAATGTTGGTAAATTTCTAAATTTTACATTATATTATTATACCTTTTCAAATTTGTTTTTATATTAAGGGGGCATCAAATTTTTTGAGGTGTCGAGATGTGGTATGGAGCAAAAAAGGTTAAGAAACACTGTTGTAACTGAAGAGATTTCCTGGCGACTTTTTTGTTATTTGGAACAATCGTTATGGAGTTAATATTTTTCTGTTTGTAATAAATGACACGAATGAGAGGATTAAATCTACTTTTGAGTTTAATAAAAGTTCTTTATTTTTGTTAGATATTTTTATAAATATAAGAGAATATCAAGAAATTATGAATAATAATTATTATAGAAACAAGATATTTGTACATATTTTTGTTTTTTCAGGAAAACATCTGTAGATACCTTGCTTTACTAACACTTATATGTTTTTGGCCGGCTTTCAAAATTTAACACCTAACTTTTAAATTATGATTCATGATTTAAATAAATTGATTAATGTTTGGTTTGAATTTCGCGCAAAGCTACATGAGGGTTATCTGCGGTAACCGTCCCTAATCTAACTGTGAAAGACTAGAAGGAAGGCAGCTACTCAATACCATCAACCGTCAACTTTGCGTGTGAGTGTGGGTAAAATATAATATGCGGCCTGGCTAACTAATGAATGAATATTTGCTGTAAAATTTTTACCAGTTCTATAAGTGTAGCTACCAGTTTGGGCGCCAATTTTGATTTCATCCCTTTAAGTCGCACGCTGAATCCTTGTTTGGCCATACGTATTTTTTTGTTCCTAAGATGGTTTTGATTAGATTTGTTTGTCAATATACGCCAACAAACCACACAAAATAAGAAAGTGACACTCGATAGCAACCCGCATTAGCTTTAGGATTACAACCCTATTTTTCGGAACAGACCTTTATTTTACAGAACCAGCCAGATTCTTTTTCCTCTCTAAAACAGTGTTAATAACTTCCTTTTTACGAACGCAATGGAATTTAGATTAACAGTTTCTTGTCATCACCCCATACATTCGATAAGGCTGTATCAAGTGTCATTATTTATGCTAATTGCCTAAGCTAATATCACGTGACACTAAACACTCGTTAATTAGGATAATTTCACAAAAGTTAGTGTGCTTAAACGTTGGCAATGAATAATCAATAATAACCGTCTACCCGTATGATTCTTTTGAAAATTTGAGCTAGAAACTGGTAATCTAGTTTGCTTGGCCTAACCAATACTTATGTATCTGCACGTTCTTTCTTCTTATAGTTTTGCTGCTCTGAATCAGCCGTCTTTAATCCAAATAACTTCAGTGCTAGTTGGTATAACTTGTGTGCCAGTTGGTATAACTCCAGTGCTAGTTGATATAACTTGTGTGCCAGTTGGTATAAATCTAGTGCCATTAAGACTCATGTTTATTGGTAATATGAAATTCAGAAACTTTCTAACACACAAAGATACAGAAAAATCAAAACGAGTTTTTCAATCATTTTACAAACTAAAACTGAAGATAAACTCAGTGAAAGCTAAAAATTTGAAGATGAGTAACCAAAAAATGACAACCAAATCTGTCCATGGCCTGTTAGTCTTCCTGGAGATTAGTCACACGTGAGCAACTGTAAATTAGATTCCATGGTAACCTTGGCTGCAAGAAACTGAAAACTAAATTATACAAACAAATCCAACCGTCTAGCTCTGTCTGACGAACAAGTACCCCTTGTAGAGATAATTCCCTATATATATTCGAAATCTACACATACTCCAAGCCCAGGCACCCCTCGTAGAGAACGCTTTCTACATCTATAATTTATTTTGAAGTACATCCTGGTGTTTATCTTTAAAACTGAAACAAATGACGTTTGTAAGCATAACATATTATATTTTGATAAAAACATTAATTAACTAGTTTTTGCAACAATTAGATGAATAAATCCGGCAATACGAAAAATATTAAATTTCCAGATAATCTTACATACATTGTCATTTCTTTGACTTATTTGTTCGAAATTTTTATTTTTGATTCTATCAGTGTTGTCTTATTTGCATGAGATATTTACTTCCTCGTGTGTAAAATTACAGGCAGTTTCTGTACTTACCATAGCTATCGGTTTGCCTTTGTTATTGAAACACAAGTAGTTGTTTGTTCTCTTTTCCCGAATGGTTATACCCGACAAGCCTTTGATCGTTTTGGATTCAAACACTAGGGTTACTGAAGAAAAATAAAATAATTGAGATTTTATGACTTAATACAAACATAAATTAATTTAAATTTTGTGACTTAATAAAAACATAAATTAACTGAGATTTTTGGACTTAATAAAAACATAAATTAACTGAGATTTTTGTGACTTAATACAAACATAAATTAATTGAGATTTTGTGACTTAATACAAACATAAATTTTATTTCCAGACAACTGCAATATTATTTGTAATGAACTACAACAAAACTCTGTTAACAGCTGGTGCACACGTGACTTCTAATAAACACGTGTCCGTCAACACGTTACGTGAAGGTTGATGCGAGTTATAAATAAACGGTCAATTGTACATTTTTCAAATTTAAATTGTTTCTCCTACTTCATTAGCTTAAAGCGACCTTAAAAAATCAACAAGATCGTTTGGAATCGACTTTGTGAGGAAAAACGTATTTATACACAAGTTAATTTATCATACTTAGAAGTTTTACAACACATCTTTATCGTTGTATGTCAATATGTTAGAAAACAGTGATTAATAAAAAATGATTCTGAAATTAAAGTTTTGTAGATATTTTTATTTATTTTTGTTTGTAATTAAGCACAAAGCTACATAATGAGATATCTGTGCTCGGCTCTCCACGGGTATCAAAACCCGGATTCTAGCGTTGTAAGTCCGCAGACATGCCGCTGTGCCACTGGGGGGGGGGGCTATATTATTTCCAGCTTTTTGTTCAGATTTCGTGATGAAATATAGAGAGAATACACAAGGTAGTTCTTTGTCCGTGTTTTACTGAATAAATACTAAAATCAAACCAGTATTTAATTATAATACGCTGTTTCTTCCCTAAATATAATCAAATAAATTAACATAGTTTAAATAACTAACACAAGGTAATTTCAAACATGTGAATTTTTTCTCTCTTATCATACGTTTAACATCAGCTAAGCTAAACGAGAAATCCAGCATCGGTGAGCTGATGTTAAAAGTGTGATAAGAGAGAAAATGTTAACATAGTTCAACCTCATGAGGTACTGAATAAGAATGGAAGAGTGTCCAACAATGCTTTTAATCCAATAATTAAGTTAACACAGTTCTTTACCAAATAAGTGTAAATTAAATAAGAATGGAAGAGTGTCCAACAATGCTTT